TGGTGTGGCTGCTAGTATGTACTCGGTGATGCGGAGCGCTCGTATGTCATCAAACTGTTGACTGCCAACATACTTTAATCTGCCTGCGTTCGTTCCACGGATGAAGTGAATACCGAAATGCATTCTAGTAGAGAGGGTCCGCTGATGATGTCCATACTATTTGTGCTGTTGGCTTTTGCTTCGGCTGAGTGCAGCCAATTCTATCTTCAAGCCGAGGATTTTAGGACCCAGGGGAAGGTTATTAATCATAGGAACGCGTCTGGAAACAAAGCCGTTTACTTAAAATCCGGACAAAAGCATCAGATGTTCTTCTGTCTACAGAAGGAATCGAAGGTGTCGTTACGAGAACTGCGATATTTAAACGATGGAAAGCCCAACACGGTTGTGATACACATGGATGGGACGTATCTTGGAGTGATGACCACGGATAACAAGGCCATTGGTAAAATAAGGAGTAAGTACTCATCCTTTAAAGGCGTTGGAGAGCAAATGACATTATCACGTGGCCGGCATGTTCTGCGCGTGCAGGTGACCAATGGTGACCGTCATGGAGTTAACATCGACATGGCTGAACTGGATATTGAAGACCTTGATTTAACTAAAGAGGCATTCACGTGTAAAAGCTTCTGTTATACAGAAATCCCATTTTCGTCTAATATGTACTCAGTTTTCAAAGATACCGTTGGACCAGCGAAGGCTTTACAGAAAAGCTACCCCACCAAGTGCGCGGAGGCGGACAATGTCAAAATCCTGCTTTTCCATGAAAATGTAAGAAAATACAGAATCAGGGCACGTCACCCGGGTTACCATACTTTAGCCAATCAAAGAGAACCTGATTTCAACAAATGCCACTTCAGTACTAGGATTCTCTGGGAGGTAAAGGGAATCAAATTCGCGAAGAAAACGTTTAAGTACGTTGACAAGACAGTCATGTTAGACCTTGTAAAGAAGCATTCGCTGGCTGTTGAGATGACAGCCAATTTCAAAGTTCAAGGTCGCGAGGAGGGGATGAATGACCATGACGTTGGCGCACTGCTGACTATATCTCTAGTCAACGTCCGCTCTGGAATATTCATTAGCGTTGTCGTCCAAGGCCGGAACGGTATCTGGGACAACATCGGCACCAAATACATAAAGAAAGGTAACAGTTCCAACCTCACCTGGGACATCTCCGACTACACGTGGGCGGAAAAGAAGGAAAACATCTTAAAGATCGTCTTCATCGGGGATAACGTTAATTCTGCGTCTGTATCCAGTGTGAAATTGGAGAAACGATTTCTAAAGGGAGATAGAAGCTTTTCAATCTTTAACGACAATAACGTGATCATTGAGGGCGTGGATATCGACATGTGGTGGCTGAAAGATGGTATGAGCATCACCATCGAGGGAGAAGACATGTCCAGGACAGCTCACTACTTCAGAATGTACGCTCCAGTTCCTTGGGCGGAAGGATTCTCTCAGACTTTCGTCATGTACCAAGATGGCAACGTGAGGCTGTTGCCGTACACACCCCACGGAGCTGATTGGATACCATTTGGATCCTCTGTTCTGATTGGTCAAGTCAACTCCTCATCTCTGAGACCTGCTGCAGAAATAACTCACGTCCACATCAACCCAGAAGCACAGGAGTTCACGGTGCATTACAAAGATGGCGGAATTGCATTGGTTACCATGGAAAGTACTATGGACGAGACTATTGCGCATGTCAAAGTGTTGAAACTTGGACGAGATCCCGCGATATTTCCCTTTGTGTCATTTAGGTCCATGTGGGTCAAGGATGGTAACGCTGACGTAGATCACGTGAGTTCAAACGGCCGCAAAGGTCACCATATTCTTGACCAATGGGGTATGTTATATGGCTACTCGTTTACATTTTATAGGAGTTGCATATCTCGGCACAACACACAGAGCCCTGATATTAACATAGAAGTTATGGAGTAAAACAATGCATGGTAACAGTAGGGTCTTGTGCTTTTATGTATCATTGTTATTATCATGTTGAGTAATTGAAGTTACAAAGAACTGTACATAAGACAGAATTAATTCGAGTCGATGATAAAAATCCAAATCCAAGTACTGAAACATTCATGGTTTCAGAAACAAGTGTCTTTTTCGATAGTGAGTGAGTATGGTTTTACGCCGTGTTCAGCAATATTCCAATAATATCACTGCGGGGGACACCAGAAATGGGCTTCACACATTGTACCCACGTAGTGGGTCTCCGGCGTGACGAGCGAACGCTTTAACCAAAAGACTACCCGCCGCCCACTTTTTAGAGTCGCATGACGTAGATTAATTTCTATTATTTCATAACATCTCGTTGATGTTTCAGGGTAGACTAGTAACTCACTGCCCCATGCTTGTCATAAGAGCCGACAATGTGTTACCTTGCTGATTGTATGTCATCGTGACCTCAAGGCGTGGACCGTTGTTCGTGGTATCAACCACTTTGGGGTGACCGATTATGTATGGGCCGCTGAAATAGTGCTGACTGCGGCGTAAAACCACATTAAGCAAATCACTATATGATAAATAATTCTGAGCATTTAGCTGGAATAAGTATGTATCAATGGTTTCAACACAATGACGCAGACGTTGCTTTGAAGTATTTTGTCATCTAAAGTACTATCGAACATACCAAGAAGTGTACTTACTGTTATACCCTCATCATACCTTTTTCACATGGAAAACTTTATGGTGCTATGTTAAACATCTCCAATTAGTTGAAGGGGGCACGGGTGGCCCAGTCGTCTAAGGCGCCGCGATTCGCTGTGCAGAGTTGCGTCCCCTGGGCACGCCAGAAACCTATGATTGTGGGTTCGAATCCCGGTTCGCCCCGATTATGTTTCTAGGTTTGTCAGCACCATACCCGTTTCACTGAAGTGGTTAACGTCTGAGACCTGCATCACTTCGGGCTTTCCTCCCACATTAAGCTGACACGCAGTGATATAACTGGAATAATATTAAAAGCGGCGTTAAACCCAATCACTCACACACTCCAATTAGCTGAATGTGATAACACGTATTTCGAAGTAAACACAACACTGAACAAGAATTATTACAGTAACGTCATTGTAGCAATGTGGATAAGTTACACTGAAATGAAATTTTCATTTGCAGTATTTTTAAAAAAATTCAAACTCACATGCGATTAAATTCAACCCAGAGGCGATGGCAGTATTTCACCCTTAATCCAAACAATTGGAATGGGATGGCTCATCGTGTTGCAATAGCGTCATCGTTTTCTTAAAATTAACTTTCGAGAAAAGAAAACTGAAATAGGAAAAAATTCGTGTGCAAACAACACAGCACGTTTTGCTATGTTACTGCTAACCTTTGTTGTGTTTATACAGAGTAGGTAAACGCTACTTTATTCACATAGCTGTGGCGCCAACAAAGTCAACAAATACCGAAGATTACCTTCCTTGGTAAATAGCTCCCATGTTTCTGTTGGACTCTTGCTTAAAAGTCAACGTACACAATGTTCTGTCACCTCCACACTAGTTTATCATATGAAAAGAATCAACACTTAATTTGTTCAATTCAAATGTTTAGTATTAAACAATGACGAAGAGAAAGGAAGATTGTGTTACTAAGAACGATTTTTGTGTTATTAAAGAATACATTTACTTCTTTGATATTATTTTGTAAATGCATTTTACATCTTTAACATCGTTGTACTCGCTAACAATACTATGACAGTTTGAGACGTAAGGTTCTACCTTATTATTTTTACACAAATGTAACTTTTGATAAATTTGTAACACTCTGTACATTTAGAACCCCATGCATAATTAATGCTTTAGCTAAATTTATATTTCTTGCTTTTAAAAGGCGTAATAACTTTCTCATTGGCGCTGAAGTTGTCTAACTCTGATATCATGTATTGTATAATGGGCCGGTGGCCCCTTTACTGAAATAAAGCTCTTTCTCTCTCACTCGCTAACAGTGATTGTTCATGTAATCCAGAGTTCTCAATTCACAGGGTCAGGAAGTCAGGTAGACAATGGTTTAACGGTGTGTGGGTGGACCCCTAGTGCCTATACATCAGGGCCAGTGTGGTCAAATAGCTGTTAGCATATGTACTACCTTTGTATAATCAACATGTGGATGGTTGGTGTGGTGCGGGCTGTCTTATTCCACAGTCCTCATGGTGACTCAGTTTACCTAAACATGTTTTTGAGTCATGGGATGCTTGGTATAGTCTCAGTATAACTCTATGAATGATACCGCCTTAATTCACAGGTTTCCAATTTACTTATCACAAAGGAGGCAGAATTAGGGACCTTGAGATCAAATTTTAAAGTAGTAGAAAACTTTGAAATATTGGTGGACAAATTTTCAAACATGTTCAAAGGACTGACCACAAACCCTTTGTCTTTCTTAGTCGTAATCCTACAATCGACTCTGCTTTTGGCAGATATTTTTTATGAATATGAAAAGAGTTTTGTCGCTTGTATTCATACTTGCATAGTTTTTTACTTTTGACATGATCAAGTATACCAATATGGCTAAAATGAGTGGGAAAGGACATGGTCTAAGGTGAGTGTGTCACCAAATGTCTGTACTTAATGTCTCTACATATCACAGATACATCTGCTTGGGTCATAGATTTGCTCATATTAAAATGAGGAAAACGCTTCAGTGTTGTCATTGGGGGCACGGGTGGCCCAGTCGTCTAAGCCGCCGCGATTCGCTGTGCAGAGTTGCGTCCCTTGGGCACGCCAGAAACCTATGCTTGTGGGTTCGAATCCCGGTTCGCCCCGATTATGTTTCTAGGTTTGTCAGCACCATACCCGTGCTCGTGGGTTTCACCGAAGTGGTAAACGTCTTAGACCTGCATCACTTCGGGCTTTCCTCCCAAATTAAGCTGACACGCCTTGATATAACTGGAATACTGTTAAAAGCGGCGTTAAACCCAACTCACCCAGTCACTCAAACTATTCATATTACATTCACATTCACAAAAAAAGCTCATTTCCTACAAACATGTAGCACCAAAATAGTTTTATTGAAACGAGTCAGTGAAGAACAGCAACATTGATGAAGCAAGTTCTAAGCAGGTCTGTAAGGTGTCTCTCCTTCAGCAACAACACAGCAGCAAGCTCACGACAGGGATGGATCTATAACCCGAGATGTGTCCTCCTGTACAGACCTGTCTACCTCAAGACGGAGATGTCTCTCCTTCAGCAACAACACAAGAGGTGATGTCACAGCAAACGTTACAACCACAGCCCAGTTTAGCCACACGCGCCCTGTAAAAACACGTGTAAAGCATGAAGCATATAGAGGTTTGTAAATATAAAATACATGCAAAGCATGAAGCATATAGAGGTTTGTAAATATAAAACACATGTAAAGCATGAAGCATATAGAGGTTTGTAAATATAAAACACACGTAAAGCATGAAGCACATAGAGGTTTGTAAATATAAAACACACGTAAAGCATGAAGCATATAGAGGTTTGTAAATATAAAACACATGTAAAGCATGAAGCATATAGAGGTTTGTAAATATAAAACACATGTAAAGCATGAGTGAGTGAGTTGGGTTTAACGCCGCTTTTAACAGTATTCCAGTTATATCGCGGCGTGTCAGCTTAATGTGGGAGGAAAGCCCTAATTGATGCATGTCTCAGACGTTTACCACTTCGGTGAAACCCACGAGCACGGGTATGGTGCTGACAAACCTAGAAACATAATCGGGGCGAACCGGGATTCGAACCCACAATCATAGGTTTCCGGCGTGCCCCAGGGACCCAACTCTGCACAGCGAATCGCGGCGCCTTAGACGACTGGGCTACCCGTGCCCCCTGTAAAGCATGAAGCATATAGAGGTTTGTAAATATAAAACACATGTAAAGCATGAAGCAAATAGAGGTTTGTAAATATAAAACGTCAACGCTTGAGATAACCATTCTCAATTAGCCAACGAAACAGATTCCATTGGGCGTAAAAGGCAAACTAGTGGTGAAATGTATATGACTGAAACACCGAAGACACCAGGTGTTCCCGAAATGGGTAAGCATGTCCTGCTCTACCGGTAGCTCCCACCACTCACACATTTTATATAATTGGATGGGTTCCTAGAAGGGACATTGTCGCGTTGTCGCATTGTCGCATTGTCGCTCTTGCAAAAGCAAGAAAAAAGTGGCAAAATTAACCAAAGCGCGACAACGCGACACATTTTGACCTTGAAAATGTCGCGTTATGGCATTGTCGCCTTTTGATAAAATAAAAAAAAAGATTATTCAAAGCCCGACAGTGCGACAAATTGCTAAAATGTCGCGTTGTCGCATTGTCGCAATGTCCCATCCTCGGATTCCATATATTTCTGAGAAGCTGAAATGAAAGTCTGAACAGATAGGCGTTTGTCCCCATGCCTCACCTAACTGTGGTATCATATAAGCCAGGAGACACGTCAGCGCTCCTATATGGTAGAACAGGTTGAGAACGCCGTTCGCTGTCCCCTCCCCTATAGGATAGGTGAGTTCACAACCCAGTTCAAAGAAAAGAGGTATAGTTGACCCGCCAGCCACGACGCCGATGATGACCAAACCATACAACATGGCTGAAAACAGTTGGTATAACATGTTGGGCATTGGATATAGACAAAGAATACATTTGTGTGGGCACCGTGGTCGATCTCTGCAATAACCTTCTCGAGTGTGCGCTACCTTATTGTATGACCTGGGAAAACATTGAACCCGACGCGTTGATCGAATATTCGCACTATATGTACAAATGCAAAAATGCAGGTTTCGATATAACGAGGGAGTGAGCGAGTTGGGTCTTAGGCCGCCTTCAGCATTCATCCGGGGTTTTCACGGCAGAATGGGTTTCATCCATGTGGTAAAGTCCAACCCGGGCTTTCGGCGTGACGAGCCATCGCGTAAACCACTGGACTACCCACCGGTGTAGTAGGCTCCAAAGACTCCTCCTAGATTTGACTCTAGAGTCATATGGCCTAGGCTCACATGACTCCCCTAGCCAGGCTCAAAACATTCCCTCTGTTTTGAATTAAAATGATTTCAGAAAAGATCAAACGTATCTTGTATTATAAAGGTTTTAAACCCCTCTTTCTTATTTTCTATTCTGAAATGTCAGGTTAAGAACGAGCCCCAATATTGTATCAGCTGTGTTAGAACCAGTTATTTTATTACCGTTTTATATTTAACTTTATTTGGAAAAACTCAAGGTGTCTCTCTTAAATCACTATACTTTTCTTAACCTATAATTTATTTTCAGAATACTCCCTGTGTCCTACATCCAATTCTTGAGTATCAGGCTCAAACTACTCCCCCTATTCTATATCCAATTCTTTCATATTATAGATGATTTACTATATATGTTAAGGAACTCTATTGCCTTATTCGCTGTAAATTACATGAAACGTTACCATAGCTCCCATGCACTGTAATAATTAAATATTCTGTTTTAATGTATGTTTGTCTGAAAATTGCATTGTCAGTTATCTATGTGTGCATGTACACAGTCTTTCCAACTACGTTTGGATTTTCAAAGTCGCGTTTCAGTTCCAAACAACAGACACGCCGATGCATGTTTATATACACAACAACATCTAGCAGTTGCACGCGTATATGTAACGCAATCTATGCAGTTGGTCGTTGAACACGCACGCCCCTATGACTCCTGGGGTATGTTTGCCCAAGGACGAAGAAAGTGATGAAACTGAAGCGGTCTTAAGGTTCAAAAGAAATCTCTCAAGCCCAAATAATAATCTTCTTTATATATTAGCGCCCTTGTGCTTATTAAACAAATGATTGCTAAAAGGGATGTTTAACTAAATGCGACATTGAAGTCGCCAGGGGGTGGGGCGAGTACACTCAAGGTGTGGTGACAAGGTGAGGAGTTTATTACACGTTGTGGTGACGGGGGGTATACTCACGGAGTGACAAGGTGAGGAGTTCATTACACGTTGTTGTGACGGGGGATATACTCACGGAGTGACAAGGTGAGGAGTTTATTACACGTTGTTGTGACGGGGGATATACTCACGGAGTGACAAGGTGAGGAGTTTAGTACACGTTGTGGTGACGGGGGATATACTCACGGAGTGACAAGGTCAGGAGTTTATTACACGTTGTGGTGACGGGGGATATACTCACAGAGTGACAAGGTGAGGAGTTTAGTACACGTTGTGGTGACGGGGGATATACTCACAGAGTGACAAGGTGAGGAGTTTATTACACGTTGTGGTGACGGGGGATATACTCACGGAGTGACAAGGTGGGGAGTTTATTACACGTTGTGGTGACGGGGGATATACTCACGGAGTGACAAGGTGAGGAGTTTATTACACGTTGTTGTGACGGGGGATATACTCACGGAGTGACAAGGTGAGGAGTTTAGTACACGTTGTGGTGACGGGGATATACTCACGGAGTGACAAGGTGAGGAGTTTATTACACGTTGTGGTGACGGGGGATATACTCACAGAGTGACAAGGTGAAGAGTTTAGTACACGTTGTTGTGACGGGGGATATACTCACAGAGTGACAAGGTGAGGAGTTTATTACACGTTGTGGTGACGGGGGATATACTCACGGAGTGACAAGGTGGGGAGTTTATTACACGTTGTGGTGACGGGGGATATACTCACAGAGTGACAAGGTGAGGAGTTTATTACACGTTGTGGTGACGGGGGATATACTCACGGAGTGACAAGGTCAGGAGTTTATTACACGTTGTGGTGACGGGGGATATACTCACGGAGTGACAAGGTGGGAAGTTTATTACACGTTGTGGTGACGGGGGATATACTCACGGAGTGACAAGGTGAGGAGTTTATTACACGTTGTGGTGACGGGGGATATACTCACGGAGTGACAAGGTGAGGAGTTTATTACACGTTGTGGTGACGGGGGATATACTCACGGAGTGACAAGGTGGGGAGTTTATTACACGTTGTGGTGACGGGGGATATACTCACGGAGTGACAAGGTGAGGAGTTTATTACACGTTGTTGTGACGGGGGATATACTCACGGAGTGACAAGGTGAAGAGTTTAGTGCAGGCCATGGTGACGGGGGGATATACTCACGGATTGACAAGGTGTGGAGTTTAGTGCAGGCCATGGTGACGGGGGGATATACTCACCGAGTGACAAGGTGAGGAGTTTAGTGCAGGCCATGGTGACGGGGGGATATACTCTCGGAGTAACAAGGTGACGAGTTTTGTGCAGGCCATGGTGACGGGGGGATATACTCACGGAGTGACAAGGTGAGGAGTTTAGTGCTGGCCATGGTGACGGGTAGGAAGCAGCCGGCCGTGATGAGGCTGAGGCCTGAGATGAACCACTTCATGTGTCGGGGGAACCTGTCACCCAGTCTGGAAGAGACCCAACATACCGATTATTAAACAAAACTGTGACGCCATGTGTTTCGGTGACAAAGAAATGCAGAGAAAAACCAACTAATTGGAAATCCCGATAGATATGAACGAACACAATATAAAAGGATTGGGTATTCCACAACGAGTTTGAATTTTTGGAATATTCTATCAGTAAAATTCAGCTTAGAATTAAATTAAATATTAAATAAGGTTGAAAATGTTTAAAACTGGACATGACACCTATGGTATGTTGGCTATGATACGTGGAGTGAGTGAGTGAGGATTTACGCCGCTTTTAGCAATCTTCCAACAATATCACGGCGGGGGACACCAGAAATGGGCTTCACACATCGTACCCATGTCGGGAATCGAACCCGGGTCTTCGGCGTGACGAGCGAACGCTTTAACCACTAGTCTACCCGACCGCCCCTATAATACGTGGAGGTTTAATGACACCGACTGATGCCTACCTTGCTGTGAGGAGAACCGAGACACACATCGTCACAAAGGAGTAGAAGCCGATCCAGCCTGCCTGCTTCTGGGTGACGCCGGTGGGTTTCAGGTTGAGACTGAGGGTCCCCACCCAGGCTGCACTGCTCCCCCCGGACATCATGTAGAGACACGACAGGAGCCAGAAGCTCGGGTGTCTGGAAGACGTCATCAGATACAGCCCAGCCAGAACAACCTGGTTCACCACCCAACGGTTCCTTAGTCGTAAGTCGGATGTTTGAGTGAGTGAGTGAGTTGGGCTTAACGCCGCTTTTAACAGTATTCCAGTCATATCACGGCGTGTCAGCTTAATGTGGGAGGAAAGCCCGAAGTGATGCAGGTCTCAGACGTTTACCACTTCGGTGAAACCCACGAGCACGGGTATGGTGCTGACAAACCTAGAAACATAATCGGGGCGAACCGGGATTCGAACCCACAATCATAGGTTTCTGGCGTGCCCAAGGGACGCAACTCTGCACAGCGAATCGCGGCGCCTTAGACGACTGGGCCATCCGTGCCCCCTCGGATGTTTGAAGATTACGATGGTGATAATTGGTCTAATGAGGCATCTAACATGGTTGTACGCTCTATAGGACACTCGTCGGAGCCATTTACCGTTCCAAGCCCTATGTTTACCATGTTCATGGTTGTGGAATGCCTAGAGGCAGTGAACCATGTAGAACACCATGGACACTCCAACCATGGGAATGCTGTGTCAAATGTAAGGCCGTAACGTGACGATATAGAAACTATAAGTATAACTATATTATATCTACATTAATGTCTTAAACATTAATATGATATGATATATTTATTTATCACATTCCTATCAATTATATGAGCATTTTGCATGTGCAATAGAGAGGGGCATATGACAGGGGTTGTAATAACCAGACCCGTATTACACCCCCTGCCGGGCTGATATGTCTTGTCAACGAATTTTGAATAAGAGATCGATATCAGCCTAGGTGATAACAAATTAGAGAAAATGCGTCGTCTGCTCGTCTGCTCGGACAGCTTTCCCGTGACAATGACTTCCAAACAAGGTAAAAATGTTTTGCATTCACTTGCAAATAGATACATTTTACAAATTTATGTTATGGTATATGATAAAAAGGTTATTTTATGGCAGTTTTCATAGCCCTCAGGTTGATATGGAGGTCTCGGGTTGATATGGGGAATGCTATGAAAACTGTCATACAATAACCCCTAAATATGCAACTACGGGTCACATAAAGACGCAATGGCATGCATTTTCAATGGCCATCGTAATTTCTGATATTCTTTATTCATATTTATTACCATACATATCTCCCCACAAGAAATAAATACTAAGACAAATTAAAAACTTCACATTTTTAAAAGTAATCCCATATATGATATACAACGGACAAATGTATCAGAGAAGGTAATTTTTAATCATTAATGTCCAAAGAAGGATTTTAATTAACGGTGGTAACCATAATTTGTTCCATGCACGGTATTCGGTAATAACATCAACAGTTTAAATCATAAGTCCCAAGCACGAGAATCTGATGGCACACAAGTTCAGTAGCGTGCATGGCCACCATGTGCGTTGACAACTGCCACACAACGCCTCCGCATGGAACTTGTGATGCTTGTGAACACATGATTGGGAAGACGACGCCATTGTTGCTGCAAAATGGTGCCAAGATCTTGCAAATTCTGTGGTTGGTTTTGGAGAGTGCGCAGACTTCTGCCAAGAGCATCCCAGGCGAGTTCGATGGGATTGAGGTCGGGAGACCTTGACGGCCAGTCCATGACGTTGACTCCCGCATTCTGAAGGAAATTCCTTGTCCTTGTGTGGGGTCTGGCATTGTCGTTTTGGAGGATCAAACCGGGTCCATGTGCTGCCATAAAAGGCAGAAGTTCTGGTGCCAGTACCTGGTCGCGGTAAGCAGCAGCGTTGAGGTTGCCACGGATGACAAGAAGCCTGGAACGTGCATTGCCACAGAAAGCACCCCAAACCATGACACTTCCCCCTCGAAATCAACTCCCTGTACACAACACTGGGTGTAACGTTCATGACGGCGCCTCCACACCCTCGCCCTACCATCAGCAAATCGAGGATTAAATCGGGATTCATCACTGAAGACGACTTGATTCCAATTCCTCTGAGTCCATCGTAAGTGTCGCTGTGCCCACAATTGACGTTGACGTCTGTGTAATTGAGTCAGAATCGGCCCGCAGTATGGCCGTCGTGCTTGAAGGTGAGCAGTTCTCAGACGGTTTCGAACAGTTTGCGCACTCAGTCTACCCCTAAACAGTTCATTTCTGGTTGATGTAGCCGTCAAAAATCGGTTGCGGGGGTGACGTAAGACAATCTGACGATCCTCTGCATGTGACGTCACACGTGGTCGACCTGGCCGAGGTTGCTGTAGACGCGTCTGTAAATCATAAACAGTCCGTCGACTACACCCCATCGTCCTTGCGACTTCAGCTACGGACGTTCCCGTCTGCAACATGCCGATGGCACGTTCACGTTGCACATTTGAAAGGCGTGGCATGACAAATGGCCGTAAAGACTTTTGTTTTCTTGTGTTTTTCTTTTTTTGTTAATGACTGCTAACAAGTATGGCTGAAAACACGTGCGGTATTATGGCCACGTGACCAGTTGCACGTGAAAAAACACTTTTGCCACTATAGTGCTGTGCACATGATTTTGATCGATTCACCTGCACAAAAACGGGTGTTATCTAAAGACAATACGTGGCCATTACTGTTTAAATACACAATGAGGGCCCACAATGATAACTGGTCAAAATGTTAAAATTTTAGGATTGTGAAGTTTTTAATTTTGTTCAGTATATATTTATACACATATGGAATATACGTCTCTACATAAAACGACAAACCTTTTCAATAATCATAAGAAATATCTGCTGAAAGTAGATTCCTTTATATCATTCTTAAAACTGTGTTTAACAGATACAAGAAACGCCATTTCATGTTAATTACTATTTTGAAAGACAACCTCCCTACTTTCTGAGGTCTTTCAGTCCCTGCATAAACCCTTCCCTCCCAATGGCGGCAGATGCACTCGGTGGCAATGGGGGACGTCTTGGGAAGTACAGCAACATCATCAACAACAGCAACGCACCGACGCCAGCCTCTAGTGAACAGTTGTTAATTCTCTCAAACGTACTTGTGGAGAGGCATTGTTTCAGTTTCATAAACGCAAGGGTTCCATTAGGGTTTACAATTAAAGAATGTTATATATAGAAAAAACAACTTGTTTGACCATGCCCTGAAAATATCGTGTAGAAAATAACTTGACATAAGCATTTTACTTTGTATGTTTTTAGGACAAGGATATGTACAATCTGGCATATCGTATGTAAGGCTAATTAATGTGTTCATGTAGTGACAGATTCATCACATGATATTTGTGACATTTGATATGAAGAGTGGTGTGTTTATGCTTACCAATATACATCAGGTGCATGATATCTGCCCTTAATTCTGTAACTGGGGGCTCTGAAACAACAGGAAAGAGAAAGAAGTGTTACAATCACTACTATATTGGTATCGACGCTTTACAGATGAATTAGGCAATTAGTTAATGTGCTTGATTGGCAGTGTTCTCAACGTAGTAAGACCTCTAACATGCCATACATACATATGGACGCGGATATTCGCCGAGGAGTTAATAGTAGTCGGTTTTAATCTCACCAGAGCCAAAATGAATATTATTGTATTATTACATTTAGTAAGGCATGTGCTTGACCCTTGACTCAAACCCTCGTTGAAACAAAAATACCCCAAGTCCAAAAGCAAGCCTACAAATCTTTGGCAAGATCAGATGTTTTTCAACGTCAGGCTGGCTCCTTTCTAACATATAAGAAAAGATAATTATACAGAAAGAAAATCTTTAAATATTCTATTTCAGGGGCTAAACGTTAACCAGATTTACCAGATATTTGAGCGCCTTCAATGCACGTTTCTGTGACGTTACTTCCCTCATCTTCTTTATATTGTGTACTGTCCCACTCATACCTAAAAAGTAAGACATTATTGTAAACTAGTTCAATGTTGTATTCAGTTGCGATGTCAACTGGTCACCATCTTCCCGAGGCAAGGGCGTTAACTGACTATAAATGTCCAGTTTCCACCCTTGCCGTGCTAGGCTGGAATTTCTGGACCAGATCGTAGCGCCACCAGTGGCTATTACGAGTTATGTCCCTTGTCGGTCCCTTCTATTGACCAATCAGATTCCATCTCTCATATCACTTGCATTTGCTACAGACAAAATGGTGGCGCCCAGTCAAAACGATCTGAAGGATAATCAAGATCTATATTGTAATAAACGGGTCTTACTTCGCGAAGTGCATCAGATCACTTTGAGCACCTTGATGAAAAACATGAAAAGGGTTGCAAAATATATGTCGACGCCCAGATTGGACTATGCAAAGACTCGTTAGTCCAGCCAAAATGTAACTCCGGAACCCCAGCCCAGTTCGGCAAGCGTGGGAACTGGACTTTTATAGCCAGTTAACGCCCTAGCCTCGGGAAAATCATTGGTCACATTCATAGAGTGTCAAAATAGAATCGTAGGAACAAGGTAATAAGGCTCGACAAACCTACGTACCTCACCTTGCAAAGTTCTTCGCTGTGCAATTCCTATGTGTTATCTCGGGAACAGCAAGGGGTGCTGTAAGTAAAAACTAACTAAAGCCACAAGAGATTACGGATTAACAAGCCAAGCATTCATTCACTAGGAAGTCATACGTAACGATTCGTGTTATTGAAAGGTTAATTTGTATATAACATGTCTTCAGAAAGAAAATACAGCATAAATGTTTAAAAAAATAAATCTGACGAAATAGTATTTGTTTGTGACGTCATGAGCAGTGGATACATCAGAATTGAATTATTTAGTCCCTCAAACATCTTACCTACAATAAAGGACACAGCCAGGGCGACAAACTTGGACATGGCGGCGAGTGCTGTGGCGGTCGTACGTTCATGAGGTGGGAACCAGAGCGACGACAACACAGGGGGCGCTGCTGTACTGACAGGGCTAGCCAGGCCATTGCACAGTTGTCCAAGGTGCATGGTCCTGTAGATGTGTGAGTGAGTGAGTGAGTTTGGTTTATTGTCGCGTTTAGCAATCTTGTATATATGTAAATAACGACAAAACCATTTTCATAATCTGTAGTCCATTGTACGATTGTGAGTATATCATAAGCATGTGTTGATGAATCACTATTAAATCATACCAGATGGTCGCGATAGGGTGAGCGTGTCCTGCCCCACCGGTACCGGTGAAGCCCGTCACAAACACATGCCAAGGCACGTCAATTACGACTTGTTGAATTGTGGAGGCTTATAGCATTGTGTATCCAAACAAAGAGTGAGGTTTAAGATGTAAGCAATATGCCAGCCATATCAAGGCGGCCTATAAAGCATTGACTCTGGAACAGACAAACCTGTGTTTGATATTATGAGCAGCATCAGATGTAGTAGGGGTTCGATTTCACACAATCATGCAAGTCACCAAACCTGACAACCGGGTTCATTTCTTCCTTTCGTACGCCAAGCATGGGTTGCTGGCGACCTGCGTACCCCATATGTCAGTTAAAGGGTGGTGAGGTAGCCAAGTGGTTAAATCGTTCGTTCGCTACGCCGATGACCCGGATTCGATTCCCCTCAAGGGTACATTGTGTGAAGCCCTTTTCTGGTATCTGCCGCCGTGATATCTTTGGAATATTGCTAAAAGCGGCGTAAAACTATACTCACTCACTCACATCTGGGTTACTTCTGAAGAAAAGGTAGGGGTAGAGGAGCGTTGCACCGCAGTCAGGTGATGAGAGAAAGATGTACGTTTAAGTGAATGCTATTTAATCGCAATCGACATTATGTCAGTTCCATCATGGCGACCTATACAAACATGGGACACTGGGGACAAATCCTACCCCACGGGTTGACATGAAACATGTGTGAACTGACCATCTGACCCAAGGAGGGTCTGAAGTTATACATCTGATTGCACACCCCAGTGTGATGGAGAAAAGTCCGAGAAGACACGACACTCGCAAACCTAGAACAGGAACACATTCATCCAGTATATTCTATAGACCCAGGGACATTTGTCATCTTCAATAGTAGTTGCATTATACATATATGTTAAAAGATGTCACACTCGGATTTATTATTTTAGTAAAGAAAAACTTAAATTATCTGAAAATATATAATCGTGAAATGATAGGTCATCTCACTTGCTTAAACCAACATGTTGTGTCTGCCTTAGTAACATCGAGTGAGTAGCTGTGCCTCTCCTGAAAACACCATCTTTTGCCAACATAAATATTTAGTATAAAACGTCAACGCCACAGAAGAACCAGGCTCTATACTCCCACGAAACAGATTCCAGAAACAGAAGTCAAAATAGCGATGAAATTTCTATGAATGGATCGTACAAGATGAGTGCTGACACCAGGTGCTCGCGAAAAGAATAAGCATGTCCTGCCCTATCAGGTAAATGGCACCTGCCATTCATACAATTTGCACAAACAAGTAAGTATTTATTGCCTATTGTAAGTATTGTAAACAACCTGGCACGACATCAAGATTACAAGACACTAGAGTTAAGGCAGGCTGTGTACCCCGAGATACAGGCGTGTACCTTTAGTGTCCAGCAGCCAGGAATACAGGGGCATGAAGAGGAAGAACATGATGGGTCCCCAGTTGGCGATGACGGTGATGTCAGTTCTGCTCCACTCAAAGGCAGAGACGGCTGTTTTGGAAATAGGCTGGAAGGTGTTGTAGACCAGGGACTGGAGACCGACCAAGAACGCATAGGCGATGAGAATATACCAGCGTCTGCTGTAGACCTTCAGCCTCAAACCTGCCTCCACTGTTACCTCTGTCTGAAAATGTTTTTTTAACAGATACATTAGACTGACGCATATTAAATTGAAAAGGAGCCCCAGTGACATGGGAGATTCAGAACCTGTGGAAAATCTAGACTTGCTTCATTCAGGGCTATAGCATTTCAGTAAGGGCTGGGCGTAAGGGGGAAATATGTTTCTGAGACTGTGAGACAGACTACTGACACACGTGTAACATGGAATGTGTAATATAATCCAGGATATAAGATATAATCCATGAAAATGTCAGGGATGATATAAAATGCTAGAATCGCTCAGTGAATAAAACATTCACATACACAATACTCAAAAACACTGAAAATTTATCCCTTCACTCCATATTCCCTGAAATGAAACAATTCTTACATAAACATACCATTTCTCTCTCATCAGTAAACATATATGTCAGTCAGGGATTACTGTAACAATTCTATTCTGTGTCGATAGATTTTCTGATGAATTAAATCAGCTGACATCAAATTGTACTTTGACTCTCTCGTTGTCCGAATTGGCCTTTAATAGATGCAGTTGAATATTTTCTTCAAGCTCCATCTAACTGGTTGTATGTGTCCAGATGGGTGAACCTATACGGCTGCACCCAGACACATATACCCGGATACATATACATAGATGCATATACCCGGATACATATACCCAAATACATGTATTGTATTCCGATACAGATACCCGGATACATATACCCGGATACATATACCCAGATGCATATACCCAGATACATATACCCAAATGCATATACCCAGATACATATACCCAGATGCATATACCTAGATACATTTACCCAGATACATGTGCCCGATGCATATACCCAGATACATGTGCCCTGATGCATATACCCAGATACATGTGCCCGATGCATAAACCCAGATACATTTGCCCTGATGCATAAACCCAGATACATATACCCAGATGCATATACCTAGATACATATACCAGATACATATACCCAGATACATGTGCCCGATGCATATACCAGATACATTTGCCCCGATGCATATACCAGATACATATATCCAGATGCATATACCTAGATACATATACCCAGATACATATATCCAGATGCATATACCTAGATACATATACCCAAATACATGTATTGTATTCCGATACAGATACCCGGATGCATATACCAAGATGAATATACGCAGATTTATATAACCAAGATACATATACCCAGACCAATATATATTTACCCACGTGCATATATACCCACATCTACATGTATGTACCTAGATGCATGTACACACGTGCGTATAACCAGATGCATATACCAGATACATATACCCAGATGCATAAACCCAGATACATGTATCAGATACATGAACCCGGATTCATATAGCAAGATACATATGCGCAGACCAACATATATGTACCCGCATGCAAATAAATCCAAATGAACATGTATGAACCCAGATGCATGTACACACGTGATATACCAGATAAATGTACCCAGATACATACTTTAAAAGCATATACCCAGATGTATATGAAAGATACATATACCCAGATGCATGAACACACATACATATATCCAGATGCATATACTCAGAAGCATGTACACACATACATATATCCAGATGCATATACTCAGATGCATGTACACACATACATATATCCAGATGCATATACTCAGATGCATGTACACACATACATATATCCAGATGCATATACTGAGATGCATGTACATACATACATATATCCAGATGCATATACTCAGATGCATGTACACACATACATATACCCAGATGCATGTACACACATACATATATCCAGATGCATATACTCAGATGCATGTATACACATACATATACCCAGATGCATGTACACATATACATATATCCAGATGCATATACCAAGATGCATGCACATACATACATATATCCAGATGCATATACCCAGATACGTATAGCCAGTAGTTGAGGACATTACCTTGTCGGGTATAGCAACACGTGGATTGTTTAGTTGGCTAACTCTGGACGGAAACTGGCGTTTGTGTACAGGAGGATATTGAACTTCAGGGCCAGTCGTTGAACCCAGCAATGGCGTGTGTGCGTCGTCCATTCTCTGGTATTGCTTGCAAGAAAATAGAAACACTTTATCATTTAAAAACAGAACTGCTACACTCATTGTTAGGTAAAGGCATTGCGCCAGGCATTCGAGCAACACTGGACGTGACACAAAAGTAAATGTGTTAACTGTGATAAATGAAAATAGGTTTAAAGCATTTTTAGTAAGGTTTAAATAAAGGAATCCAACATTTGGTCAGGCATGTTTTGTTTATCGACTACTGTAATGGTAAACAAACCATATCTATATCCTAGAATGTGGGGCATTGTGTTAATTCAAAGTACTGCAAATATCACAGCAAAACTAAAATATGAGAAGTTAATGTGCCTTTATGACAATTGAGAGGTTATATTATATGTTACTGTTAATGTGTAAAGTGACTTAAAATTCACTTAGGTAATTTAAAAAACGCCATGTTTTTACATTTTACAATTATTGTGCCATTTATTATATTTTGATAACGAATAAAAACCATTTTTATGCATTATTTCATCACCCATTAACTGAAAATTATAGGATTATGTACATATATTATTTTGTTTGGCTTCTAATACTATCATAATTAGTCTAGTGTGATTTTATCTCACTGAAAAATAATCGTAAAATGACTGAAATGTTTTGGCATTTTGTAACATATATAACTTTGTATATATAACGAAGACAATAACACATATTAAAAGGGGCGCGGGTGTCCCAACTGTCTAAGACTCCGGAATTCGCTGTGCAGAGTTTTGTGTCCTTATACGTGACAGAAACATATGATTCTGGTATCGAATCACAGATTTGCCCTGTTAATATTTAGTTTGCCTGCACCACACCCGTGAGTTTCACTATAGTTGCAAACGTCTAAGATGGACATCACCTCGGGTCTTGTCAAAGCGGCGTTAACCACATTCACCATTTTAGTTAGATCCTTCAAGTAGCAATGCACACTATTACGGAATATTTAAAGCACATATTCAAAATACACATGTTACTAAAATTTCGTCAACTACATACCTATCTACTATCTACGGTCATATACGATCATATGCGGTAAACTAAAAACGTTCAACTGTTTAACATATTTTATTGTTCATATTTTACAAGTGAAGTGGCTGTATACCTATTCTAAAAACTTCAAAGCGATAAAAGCATTCCGTTATAATGATACGATCATACATAACATTTAGAATGAGTGTTGAAAATCTCTTGTCGTCAATATCACAGCCAAAATAAAGCATGACACAATTATGTGGCCAATTACACTACGGCTTATTATATACCACACTTTTCAATGTGATATCATCATTAATCCAGGCAATAGGAAAACAACTTACTATTTGTGGAGAATAGTTTACACGTCACTTAGTGACCGCTGTTATCGATGCAAAGACCTTGTGGTTGCTGATACAAGATGCGGTCAGGTGCTGAGAGATAACCGACATATGTACATGAGTAGTTATATACTAGAAACGTACCGGAGATATGTACAGTATGTAGTCCCCTGTCCGGGGAGTGGATGGTCTTTGTCTTAAGAGGCAATGGAGATTGGATGTTCTTTGTCTTGAGGGCAATGGAGAATGGAGATTGGATGGTCTTTGTCTTAAGAGGCAATGGAGATTGGAGATTGGATGGTCTTTATCTTGAGGGCAATGGAGAATGGAGATTGTGTGTTTTTTGTCTTGAGGGCAATGGTGATTGGAGATTGGATGGTCTTTGTCTTGAAGGCAATGGAGAGTGGATGGTCTTTGTCTTGAGGGTAAAAGAGAATGGAGATTGGATGGTCTTTGTCTTGAGGGCAATGGAGAATGGAAATTGGATGGTCTTTGTCTTGAGGGCAATGGAGAATGGAGATTGGATGGTCTTTGTCTTGAGGGTAAAAGAGAATGGAGATTCGGTGGTCTTTGTCTTGAGGGCAATGGAGAATGGAAATTGGATGGTCTTTGTCTTGAGGGCAATGGAGAATGGAAATTGGATGGTCTTTGTCTTGAGGGCAATGGAGAATGGAAATTGGATGGTCTTTGTCTTGAGGGCAATGGAGAATGGAGATTGGATGGTCTTTGTCTTGAGGGCAGTGGAGAATGGAGATTCGGTGGTCTTTGTCTTGAGGGCAATGGAGAATGGAAATTGGATGGTCTTTGTCTTGAAGGCAATGGAGAATGGAAATTGGATGGTCTTTGTCTTGAGGGCAATGGAGAATGGAAATTGGATGGTCTTTGTCTTGAGGGCAATGGAGAATGGAAATTGGATGGTCTTTGTCTTGAGGGCAATGGAACATGGAGATGGGATGGCCATTGCCAAAGAAGCGGTGGTGAATGGGAATTGGATTGATACCATGCTTGCCATGTATGTATGCCATGGGACCCTCTCATGTGTGTGTGTGTGTGTGTGTGTGTGTGTGTGTGTGTGTGTGTGTGTGTGTGTGTGTGTGTGTGTGCGTGTGTGTGTGTGTTACTGTATTATCTTGGATATTTTATTATAAGTTATGCACGTGTGCAACCATACACTCATCAGCACTCTATACGGTATGTCCACACGTCACTGCATTTCTACGTGTGTCTCGTGCCCTTGAGAATGTTGTTACCCGTGTCGTCAAAATATCTGTGTATAATGATCATGTTAAAAAAAATTATCACCATAAATAATAACCACCCTTTTACAATAAATCATGCATGTCACGTGGTCAGGGACTTCTGGTTTTGAATGTAATTTCACATAAGAGCATACTAAATAATATCCTCCATGAGACTTTCAAGAAATGTATAATCTTTTTGTTATATTTGACTGTTATCAAGAATATTTCAATTCAACTCTTAGTTGAAATTATCACATAGCGTGATTTGTAAATATAATATTTCAAACTTAAGTATAAAAAGTCATACACATTAACTGAAGATCCATACATATAGATTTCTAAGGGCCATTGTTGTCAAATTATATTTACTAAGAAAGTTTTTGTAATCCTTTAACAAAGCAGAAACATTTTTACATTGACAGAAATATTGAGTGTCGTCTTCCACATTATCACAAACTTCACAGATGGGGCTAACTTGACCATATATTTTGAATAACCATTTTCGACAAGGAACAATATTATAAATAACATTGAACTACAGTTCTTTCATCTTGTTTTGCACAGGTATCTTGAACATATCAGCAAATATAACATTGAAATTTTGAGTGTTGTCAAATGTATATTACTGTTATGCAAAACCTGCTGAAACATTCACGATCTCTTTTTAATTCTTTCCCCTCAATTTCTGGCAGTTTATGAAAATCCCAGTCAGGTCTGGATGTTAATGGATAAAACATATTACAACCAACTGATTAAATCCACGCTGGTACGTTCGTTCTCAAGAACCTCATTTCCTAGTCTGGTTAATCGAGTTTTCATGGCTGCAAGTTATTCTTCGGTAGAGTTGATGTCTCTTCGAAGACGGATTTGTGTTTTTTGAATTTCAGTAATATCATTATGAATAAACTCA